TGTATATATTTAACAAAATCACAAACAACATTTTTGTTGTCATTAAATAAACCTTATAAGTTTTAAGGTTCTTCGTCGATGCATTATCATGCACATACTATTGACACAAAAGAAACCTGTGGCCGTGAAGTGTTTATGTCATTTTTAAATGGATTACTTGGGAAAAAAAGCAGATGTGATTTTTGCACACTGATAGAACGAAAACACACGAAGCACTTCAGCGTCTCAATTCTTTTAAAAAAATATTGTATTTTCGACACTTGAAAGGTAGATGCAGGCTTGAGGGAGACTGATGTAAGTATCTGTGTAGGCGTGATGGTATGAATCCTTTGGTGGGTGTGGGTGAGGGTGTGGGTGTGGGTGTGGGCGTGGATGTGTGAGTGTGGGTGTGGGTGTGGGTGTGGGTATAGATGAAGAAAATGTCACACCCACACCCACATGTACACGTACACGTACACCTACACCCATACCCATACCCACACCCACACGTACACCTACACCCACACCCACACCCTGGAAGTTTTACATAATGTAGTAAATTAACAAAAATCAAATGGGATGTACTAATCGTGTTAATAAAAACAGGAAAATATATGCTGTGATTCGAAAATCGTTCATCGTCTATGATAGTTTGATAATCGAATCCATCGGAAAAAAGGCGATGAATATTTATATTTCAACCACATTCACTCGACTTAAACAGAGTTCGAGATATTCTAGAGACATTCCGAAAAGAGAAGAACATCTAATTTAATCGACAATCATCATCGATTTATTGGCATAAACAATTTACATGTATCTATAAAAGAGATGATCAACTCAAATCCGACCTCTTTTTATCATTCTTTAATTTAAGTCTATTTGTAGTTGACTTTGGTGATTAAAACAAAATTGTCAGACTCGTATTTATCTGGTTGAAGTTGACGAATAGCATCAATCTCAATATGAGAGAAAATCAAAGCGACGAAGATTGGAAACACATTTATGAAGAATACGAGCCACATGGTTGAAATTTATCAGTGTCACTAGGTCTCGCTTATCCAAAAACATTTCAGATGCAGCCGTTGGAGATTCGGGACTGGAATGACGAATAAATCGATCATTGTATTGATTGTATCTTCATCAATTTCCAAAATAAGATCGCTGAGTTGATGAGAATGAAGATTGTAGTTCATTATTTATAAGATATAAACAATGCTGTTTTGAATGATATTTTTCTCAAGATATTCGAATCTTGAAAATACGAAAAATGTTATTGAAAACACAAACAGAATTAATAGACTTCACTAGTTTCTACAAAACTCAAATTGATCCCAACATGTAATCAATAAGATTGATCCATTTTTGTTGATTATTATATCATTGTTATTAAAACTTGAATGCTATTCTCAAAGTAATTCCTAATAGAAGAATAAATAAACTTGTATAAGTCATTTTATCGCTGAAACTTTTATAAATTAGAAATTGAAGAAGAAAAACATATAACGGGTGATCTATAATAAATGACTACACTTTACATTGTATATTTTAATCTCTGAATACATTTTATTTAAGAAAATATACCACAAAATGCAGCGTGAAAAGCCCTACAATCTACATAACACCACTTACTTTATGGTTGCACTTTTTGTTTTCAAAATAGACAAAATTTTGAGCGGTGAAACTGCGATCGTGCACAAATTGGTCGCACAGAATTTTCCTTTTTTTTTGGAAACTAATTAAAATATTCTTTATTTTGTATATTGTAGAGCTTTTCACGCCGTATCTTGTGGTATATTTTTTTGAAACACAATGCATGTAGAGATTAAAATATGCAATGTAAAGTGTAGCCATTTATTGGGAGTCACCCGCTAGTAACTTTGACTTTCTTTAACTTTTATTTTACTTTCTTTTTTGAGAAAGGAAAGTTGAAAGTCGGTTAACTATCCTTTTCTAAAAGAAAGTGAATGTGTCATGTCTAGATATTTTCTATTCTCTGAAATTCTAGATTGTTTTCGAAATTCTTGCAATTTTCAAGGAATATCTTGTCGGCATTTCCAGTTTATAAAAAAAAATGTACAAGGATTATCGATGATTTTCTGTTTTAATTAATTGACTTCCATTCGAGCTTGTTACAAACCATAGTAGTACCCTCGATGGCCACCCATTATTCAATTATGTGATGAATGAAATCAACAGAATATCAAAGGTAAATTACAGCAGTTAGAATCACGCTTTTATATTGTATCATCACAACCATTCATTTGAATTTTTTTACATACATAACTAATCACTCAACCATAAAAACCTTGGGACACAATGCAATCTTACCTTCACTTATAAGGTAAAAAAAGATTGTAATTATAGATATTACAAAAAAAATGAATACACATTTCATCGATATCTGATGAAACTATTCTATCCGTAAGTATTATATGTGAGTCATAAGAAACATGCAGTATAAGAAAATATATAAAGACAGAATGAATTTTCGAGTCTAAGGAAATCCATAATTAAGATTATTGTACTTTATATGACTGAATAATAATTTTTATCATTAATTTGATGTCACATTTGTTAAATATATATCATAGAATTTGTGTAAATAATCTACATTAACTTTTCTAGATGAAAACTTTTTATAGTCAATCAACGTTAGAAATGCTTCCAGATGAAATTTTGTTGGAAGTATGCAAATATTTATTGTGTAGTGATATTCTTCAATCGTTTATCGGATTAAATTGTCGAATGACACAAATGATCACTCAATATTGTCGTCATGTTTCACTCTATAAAGCATCTATTTTAACATCTGATTATTTATTTATAAATGTTATTCCTCAAATTGGTTCCCATGTTCAATCATTAGTCATTGATCGTAGTTATTCTTATTTTCAAGATGAGTCATTCATGAAACATTTTGGCAAGAAAATGTCGATGATATTTCCTAAACTAGAAAGAATTAGTCTTACTTATTATGAGCATGATAGATTGGTTAGTTTTCTTGATGCTTTACATGATATGAATCATCTGATTGATATTCGTTTATATCAACTCTTCGACATTCAAACTTCACATCAAGCAACATTTGGTCGATCATTATTTCAAGCAAACAATCATCGATTTACATCAATACTAATGGATGACCAATCGAGCTGTTTGAAATTCGATAACACTGATCGATATTTGAATGTTCGTCGATTGCGTATCAACTTGACAAATGTCATAGATTTACCGGCTCTTTTTGCGGCTGTTCCCAATCTTCACTATTTGGATGTGGTAATCAATGAAGGAGGCGACTATTCTGAATTTTTAGATGAAATGAAATTTTTTCCTCTTCTTCATCTCACCGACTTTCGATTGAAGTCACTTAGACATGGTTGGATGTTAGAAGAATTATCTATATTACTTAGCCAACTACCAATCGTGCAACATTTGTCACTTTTCCTTTCCACTTATGATAGTCGATTCGTCGAAGGTAATGTTCTACTTTCCTTACTTCCTTCTACTATTCAACAATTCAACTACGCCGTTCGCTATTTTTATGATTCTGCATTTCATGGAGACGATGACATTATTATTCCTTGGCCATCTTCGAATCCAATTATATGCTCTTTAAATGATGAGTCCTTATTTCTTCACACATTACCGTGGCACTTTCCTCACATAGAATTTTCTTTGTTACACAGTAAAATGGTATCAAGCTCTACAAATAATGTAGCGGCCTATGATAGGAACGTGAAAGAAGTGGATATTTGGGTTAACAACAGTTTTGATTTGACAAGATCTTTGTCAATAATATCACAATGTTGTCGAGCAAGAGTAATTACCATTTATGTGACAAAAGAGGATGACACTATGGAAGGTACGTATATCTAACAAAAAAAACATCAAGGATATACGAATGGCTAGAAAAGCAAAAATCAGCTTCATTAAAACCTTTAATACTTCACAATCTACCCTATTTGTAATAGCTCAGAACGATTACTTGTAGTCAAGAAACTTTTGTAAACACTCTAGTTTAGATGGAAGTTCGTAAGACAATGTTGTATGTTTTCTAAGAAAACTTATATGAATTTAGCAATGCATATATACATGCATGAAATTCATGTTCCATTTTTTAAAACAACATCCAACACTAGTTTGTAAAATATTTTAGTATGAATGAAAGTTACAATGTTTTTCAACTCTTCATATTTACTTATAGCCTAAGATTGATATTTGACTATTTTCAGAAGAACAGTATCGTGAAATGTATTGTATGACAAGAAATAATGACAAAGACGCAATGTCGATCAGCCACCGATTTCGTTCGCATGGCAAAAACGAAAACGAACATGATTATTCTCTATGAAATTTTTCAGACAGAAATTGACGCGGTGAAATTAAAACTTCAGGGTGTAGAAATAAGGACTCATCATTTAAAGAGCATATAATTGGATTCGAAGATGGCCAAGGAATAATAATGTCATCGTCTCCATGAAANCTCATACATGAACTGGATCGGTTTCAAATCAAATGCCATCGATCACATATCTTTCTCCTTATCATGTGCATGTCAAAACACAATAAAACAAACAGTGATCACTATATCAAATATCAAGGTTTATTACTGTTCTCAATCTATTAGCACGCAATGTTAAGTCTCTCTGCTTTACCAAAACTTTGATAGAGAAACTTGCACCATTTTAAGCTTAGTTTTCTTGAATATATGCTAGAACTTTGTGCCGTAAATTAGCAGCAGAGCCGATGAAAAATCAGCACATATCATTCAAGTTAGAAAATGCTTTCGCTACGAGTTAAACATTTTTTCTTCTCTATCACACGTATTCTGTGAGAGGTGTTGAAGAACTATTTCATTGCTTCTCAATCGAACACACACACAATAAAGATACACATAAATACCGTAATGGGGCAGCATAAGAAACAAGAATGAAAAGTGTGTACGTGTGGGTGTGCTTTTATCCATGTTTTTGTAATACCCACACCAACAGCCACACCCACACCCTTTAACTTATGACGAATTGGTTGTTCCGCATCTTCGTCGTGTGACGCATCTCGAAAAGTTAACTTTGTATCTTCGTATTCGTAGGGCATTCATCGATGGTATACATCTTCAAAATGAAATTCTTGTTTATATGCCTCAACTTCATAGATTCATCTCTTATATTAGTACAGAAACTGTCCTTTCTGATTCACTTTCTCGTCAATCTAATAATGATATTCAACGAACATTTACAAATATAAAATATGGACAAACGGCTTGTGTCATTGATTATTTCAGTGGCTTTAACGTCATATGTCATGTTTACTCGCTTCCATTTACATTTACCCGGCTGGAAAAGATCACGAGTGATTTTTCAACTATCGTATTTAATGATGCAACCCGTTTATATGCCTACTATGTGATTCCAATGAAGCATGACTTCTTTATGAGAATTGGTCAAGCTTTCCCAGTGGTTAAGTTATTCACTATGCAGAACGAAGCAAAGTTGTCATGGGAAGCTGATGAATTCGAATGGTATGATGGAAAAAGAAAGAAAAGAAAAATGTCGAAAGAAAATATTGAAAAGAAAAATATCGAAGGGAGAAATGTCGAAAAGCGAAACGTCGAAAGAAAAATCGTCGAATAGAAAAATATAGAACGAAAAAGATCGAAAGAAAAAGATCGAAAAGAAAAACGTCGAAAAGGAAAAATATTGATTTTCATTATAAGAATTTACAGCATCGATAAATCATTTATTGAGTAAAGAAAAGTAATAGAAAAATTCATACCTGGCATCTAGAGAAATGTCACTAAAAATAAGGTTATGATAATTCAGTTATCTTTTGTTGCAAGATTATTTAGCAACAACGTAATATAATGAAGTAAAAAGTTCATTAGCATCAATATCACCCTTTTCGTGACCTGAGTATAAGGTAATTCTTAATGATTTTGTATAAGCTTCAGGTACACAGGAAATTTGAAAATCATAGATAATACCTGTTTAAAGATGTCTTCCTGTATCCTACGAACGAAGTTGAAACAAAGTTACTTCAGTCAAAGAAAAAGAAGTACTCGACTATCTACTTCCTTTTGTGATGGAAGGATAGTAATTACTAATGACTTAACACAAGATCTTGACGATTTTTCCTCGTATAGTTTCAATGTCAGATTATTTTCTTTTGAAAGTGCGTACTTTTATAATTTGTTTGAACATTCGAATCGCACAGTTTTCTGGTTCAGGCAAATGAATGATTACCTTTAGCTCTTACTAAAACATCATTTATGTCTGTATGAGAAGTCACAGTACAAAGTAGTTTTTCACATCAATAGTGTTTTATTGTATTTGCGGTTATGTCAAGTTTAAATATGGAGTTGTCCATTATCAACAATGAGTTTCTTTTTTTATGCAAATAGAAATGATATCAGATTCGACAGAGTAGTCATATTATCTGAAATAAAGACAACTAACTAGCGGGCGTTCGATTACTATCCTATACTTAAAAAACGTTTAAAAAAAGGATTTATTTCAGCTCAGTAAACATGTTCGGTACGTCAATTATGACAAGGGATAACATAACGAGTCATGAAAAAAAGAACCTTTCAATCGTCGAATTCCAGCAACCTCTAACAATTTATATCTTCCCCATCTATCTATTTTTCACATTCTATATTTTTCTTTTCGACGCTTTTCCTTTCTGTCTTTCTCCATCCATTCATTGGAATTTGATGAGACTTCATCTTATTCATTTATCGAATATTCTCATCTTACATCACTTGATATCGCAGATGCGAATATTGGTTGTGTTGCACAATTTTTACTTGAAAGAAGAACACATTTATCTCGTCTAACTAAGTTAAAAATCAATTATCACCAACTGAAAACTGTGGCAATGAACTTCACAAGAGATGAAACACGACGCAATTGTTCTAAAGTGGAACGATTGTTGCTTTTTCAAGCACCAACAGTTGTTTCAAAAGAAGTTTATGAATATTTTTCTTTATTGTAAATTCAATTCTATTTTGTTGGTTTCAATAAAAATAAATCACGTAAAAATTCTTATGTTATTATAACGAAATAAAAAAGAGGAAGAAATAATAATTGTTTGGGATAGAATACTGGCTTGTAAACATATTTTTATTGGAAAATTGTTCGTACTATATTACTGTTTTGTACTTATAAGTGAAACTGTTTCACTGAATGACAGTTTCTGAGAGGAAACTATTACAACAGTTCTCTGTGAATTGTTGAGATTCAGCACTAGCTTGCCTAGAGTGAGACCTGTTTTACTTGATTTTTTTTGTGAATAGTGTCGTTCTTATGTAACATATACTAGGCAGGAAATAATATTTTGCCAGGGGGGTGCTACTATAAATTCAAATAGAGTAAATGACGAATTTTATACCAAATGATAGCCCGTGAAAAATGGAATTTAGGAGTATAGTTGGTCACTCATAATATAAGAATGGGCTATAGAATTACGAAAAGTTTCTAATTTTCAATAGATAATTGGGCATTTCCACGGGTACTCAATCACTGAAAACATCAGGTTTGTTCGTCTATCAAACTTTATAGAGCTCTTTTTGCTAATCATTTTGGTAAAAAAAATTTTCAATTAGATCAAGAAATAATGATGCTCGGGTCAAAATACTCATATACATATTATATCTATCAGCCACAGTAGTTTGAGATTGTCAGCATTTTGGCCTTAGCATCGTTATTTACTGATCAAATTAGAAACTTATTTTTATCAAAATGATGAGGATAGAGAGCTCTATAAAGTTTGAAAGACGAACAAACCTGATGTTTCCAGTGATTGAGTACCCGTGGAAAAGCCTAATTAGGTATCGAAAATTGGAAACTTTTCGTAATTCTATAACCCATTCTTATATTATGAGTGGTCAACTATACTCCTAAATCCCATTTTTCACGAGATTTCATTTGGTAAAAAATCATTATTTACTCTATTTGAAATTATAATGGTACTCCCCTGACAAAATATTATTTCCAACCTAGTACATGTATTCCAAACTTGTAAAAAGGAGTAACAGCATTAACAAAACCCAGCTTAATGTTTACAAGAGGCACATATTTGTGGTAAATAAAGTTCAAAACTTAAGGTGAAGTTCAGTTGAAATTTGAAGAAAATAGTCTATAGAGAAAGAAGTAGATATCCGAGGATGCAAGTGATTGTGAATGTAACTATCTTCTCATGGATGTCGATATGGGTGGGGTGTGAGTATGGGTCTTCATTAATAGAGGATCTACACCCACACCCATCAATAACAAATTTAATAGATGATTCGAATGATGTAAATTCAATTAATTGAAGACATGTACATAGTGCATGTTGAGCATGATGACAAGCTACAATAGAAATATATTCAAAGTTAGATAAATTATCGTTTAAATGAGTTCTTTCACAGAAGACGGGAACGCATAAGTGGATGAATCGATCCATGTTCACTCCTCCAACAAAAGTACCCAGGGCGAAGAATCCTGGGTTCGGATCCTATCGAATATCTCGTGTGATCCGATAATTTCCGACGGGAATCCGGTAATTTCTGATAGAAATCCTATCGGAAATTGTTGGAATCTTTGGTATCGGATTCCGATAGGAAGTTGTTGGATTTCGGATCCGACAGCCAAATCCGATAGTTGGAAAATGTCGGATACACTCGGAATTCTATGAAAACCTGTGAATTTGTACCTGAACGTTATATATTGTTGGATCTCCATCCTACTTCCTTTCTGAACTACATTGAGCTGCATATTAGTAGTTTAAGTGTAGTTCATTTTAACTCTTTATTCAGTGCAAAATGAAATAAACCAAATAATGTAAATTAAAAAATTTACAAAAAAATAAAAATAAAATTTAATAAATAAAAACAAGTCAAAAGGCTGCAATAAAATTTAAAATAAACTAAAATAAATATAAAGTAAAATAAAAATAAACTGAAATAAACAAAATAAAATAAATATAAAATAAAGTAAATTAAATTAGATTAAATACAAATAGGATAAAATAAAAATAAAATAAATTAAATTAAATAGAAATGGGACAAAATAAAAATAAAATAAACTAAATAAAATAACATTAAATAAATAAATCATAATATTAGTATATTATATGTTTCAATTAAAAGATTAAGATTTCTGGGAAAAGCGGCCCGTAATCTGAACTGACAGAAAATGGTCAACAACGACGGTGAATATTGTCGGATCCGGCAAGATCCAGTTGTCGGATCCGACAGGATCTAGTTATCGGATCCTCTTATCGGAATCCTAGAGAATCCGTTGTTGGAAAACGTCGGAAATCAAGGGATATAACTGGGTCTCCGATTGTCGGCATCCGGTCGGATCCGACAGTCGGATGATGTCGGATTATTTAGGGATCCGATAGGATCCTATTGGGGTGCTTCGCCCTTGGTATATATAAAGAGTGGACCAGAAGTTCAGACTTGATTTGTATAATAAATCTTTCTTTAGTAAAGTGCATGGTTGAAAACTTGTTTCTAGTTAAGAAAAGATGCAGTAAAAGACGTTCGACAACGATAGTTTTGCTGTAACTCCTGTTTCTTAAGTTCCCTAGAATAAATGTTTTTTTATATAGAAGCGCCGTGAAATTCTCTACAAAATTATGCCTAAATTTTAATTTTAGAACTTCAATCAAGAAAACTAATCAAATTATACACGAAGCGAAAAAAATGAAAACTTTGTAAAGTTGATATTTTTTCGATTTGAACGTTTTCTTCTCCTATTATTTCCGTAGAACAGTGTAGTAAAAGTGAGAACTCCGTTTGTGTTTGGTACTTTCAAATGTGCTCGTTCTTGTGAGCTGTAGAAAATTTTTTCTTAGCGCAGATGGAATACTCAAGAACCAAGTTTCAAAAATACGTCAAAAAACGAAAACCTAATTTACAACAGTATACCCAGCAAGGAACAAAAAATGTGATCGAAGTTTTGATCTTGCAGCTAGGTAGAGAAGAACAATAATTTCTGATCAAAACGAAATAAGTCCGACCGAAAAACTTTTTGTTTTGATGAAATTATAGGACTTTTACTGGAATCATCATCACGATATCAACTGGATTCACAGTTAAGTTTTCTTTTTTGTGAAGCACATTTCTAAGTCTGTAACTTTCTTATTAGATGAGTCAGCGGGGTCAGTCAATAGCCATTTTGTTGAGCATCTTTTACTGCATCTTTTCTTCACTAGAAATAAAGTTTTCAAATTACACGTTTTACTAAAGAAAAATTTATTATACAAATCGAGTCAGGACTTGTGAGTCGTTCTTTATATTTAAGACATTATTTATCCATGACCGAACTTGACTATGCTCACAATAGAATTATTCAACATTGTCTTTACAGACGGCAGCGGTCATATGTATCGAATGAATATATAACTATAGACAGCAAACGACGATTAGAATCAAACATGAATTATTCAGTTGTTGATATTCTTGATCTACCCGATGAGATTTTACTGATTATTTTTGCAAAATTGAAAAGCGGTGATGCCTTTTATTCACTTTTTGGTGTAAATGAAAGACTCGATAAGATAGTATGTGATACTATCTATACTCAATCGATCGATTTAGCAACGACATCATCAAATAGTGAAACTGATTCATTGTCTGATCTAAAATTGAATCGATTCTGTCTGGAGATCCTACCTCGAATTCATCACAATGTAAAATGTCTCACACTCGAATCACCATCTATGGAATGCATTTTTCGTGCTAGTGACTATCCCAATCTACACAAACTTAATCTTGCTAAGCTTGAACTAAAAGACGCATTATACTATTTCAATGGTATATAGTTTATGTTTTATTTTTCTGTATAATTTTATTTTATCGATATTTAGATGATTTACCATTTGCTCATATTTTTAAGAAACAAATTTCTCATCTGATTGTGACTGTCACTGATGATGCTCAGACTACATCACTGGAAGATTTAGCTACAGATGTATATGGACGTATTTTTACTTTTTTTACAAGTGTAACTCATTTGGAGTTTGGTATTTACTATACTCCTCGACATCCAACATTGTTCCTCCAGGATTTACCATCGAATATTTGTTTCTCGTCAAAAATAACTCATTTATGTGTCAAAGTTCTTCATTTTAATGATTGTCTTCGTTTACTCGATGGTCGTCTCTATCAAATGAATACCTTTGTTGTCACTGTTGATTGGTTTTCATGTATTCCGTCAGATGCCATTAGACTTAGGGTAAAGAAAGTAATTATATTTAATTTTGTATATTGATGCTCGTTATTGAAGGGTTTGCATAATCTCAAATGTTTTTCGTTAATGTCACGTGTTACAACAACAACATATGATGATCAAATCGTACCATTACTTCGTCAAATGTCACAATTAGAAAAGCTTACATTATCTCTCAAGGTTGGCAATAGAAGAACATACGTCGAAGGTACTCATCTGAACAACGAAATTCTCAGTCAAATGTCCTATCTTCGTACATTTATCTTCGACATTGTTACACATATTGTAGACAGCAATGAAGTTCTGAAGTCCAGTGATGACATTCGACGTACATTTGTCCAACATGTTGATTGTTACATCGACTATTTTCCAAATAAAGAAGGTCGATGTCATGTCTATTCACTTCCATTCACTATGAAATATATGCATGCTGTAACAAACAACTTTCCAGGTGGTATATTCAGAAATGTACGCACGTTATCTATAGTTGATGATATACGTTCATTTGAATATGATTTTTTTCAACGAATTTCTCATTCATTTCCGTTACTCAATCAACTGACAGTATTTAATTCAATACAGCAGAACGAGAAACGAACGCAAGAGTCATATGATGATAAAAAGAGATTTTTAATCGTCGAATTCACTCATCTTTCGAAACTCAATCTCTCGTATGCTCATTTCAATTATATTGAACAATTTCTTCTCAATACGAATGCATATCTTCCTTCTCTCGATGAACTTGAAATTCAATATGAACATTTATTAACTGTAACAGAAAATTTTACAAGCGATGCAACGCGATTTGTTTGTGCTAAATTAAAGCGTCTTAATATTTCTGAAATAATTGTTCATTCAAAAGATTTTTATCTCTATTTTCCTTTATTATAAATAGATTTTTTGTTCAAATCAAATTATTTCGATATATTCATTTACTCGATTTCAATAAATTATGATTAAATCAATACAATAAAGTTTTGATAGACGAAAATAGAGACACATCTTACATTGACAGTGTTTCACAAATTTTGAACTTCGACAAAAATCAGTTGATATAGAGACACGAAATGATTTTTCAGTAATCGTATCTATATGATATTTGAGTGTTTATGACAATGTTTCAAATGACATTATAATATATGATGATCATTTTTCGAAATCGAACAACAAAATTTTTACTAAGAAAAAAGGAAAAAAGAATATTCTCAACATACATATATCAAGTTGATTATGTTAAAAATCGTATTTAAATTCTTGCATACATATTCTCAACTATTTTTTAACACATCGTTAAGTCTTTTATCAATTTTACTAATCGTTTTTTCAATCATCAGAAGTGTTCTTTTTATTCTTTGTTTCAGCATTTTTCGATTGAATATCTGGCCCATACATCTGCAAAGTTTCTATTATCATCTTGAAGTTAAATTGTATTTTATTTGATTTTAAACTACCTATTCAAGTTACAGTTTGACTGTTCATATGACCAGTAGTACACGATAAGTGTAACAAAACGCTTAAGGGAACTACTTATTGGTTCCTACGATGTTTTTATCCTAAACAAATGTATTTAGCGATTCAATAAAAAAATGTTATTCATTGATTAATTTAGAAAACGTAATCATCACATTTATATTTTTTTTCTTATTATTCGATGAGAGCATATTATTCAATATTATGCCATTTGAAATGTCGACACAAATACTCAAACATTTTATAGATGCAGTCAATCAAATACTGTGTAAAAAGGGTGTGAGGTGTGGGTGTGCATAGTGATTTCATCTAGACGCACCCCACCCCACACCCACCCACCGTTCTTTATAGAGATTATCAGTTACACGTTTTATTGTATAATTTAATAATAGTTTTTCAAAATTAATCATTCTTTTTTAATTTTAAATCATTTCATCATCTGTTGTTGGAATAGGACAACACAATAAACGAAGATTATCATTAATATCATCTTTAATTTTTTGAAAAATATATCGTAGAACAAATTTGAAATCAATACGTTTTATAGAATCCACTTTGAAATATTTCATATAAGGACATAATTTCAAAAGAAAATTAAAATCTTCAATATCATTCATTATCTCAAGATATACTTTTGTAACTTTACTAGTATCTTCTGTTGAAAACAAAATAAAAAGTTCTTCAGAATTTAACATTGTTGGTTCATGTAATGATAAAGAATGAATTTTTAATGTAGTAAGTTCTGTGAATAGACTTAAAACTTCAATCAATGTACGAACATCAACGTTTTCTTGTGAAATTTTCATATGATAAATTTATGCTACAGGCAAAATATATGCAATATTTATTATCATAGATTCCTCAAAATCGTAGTTATCAATATTTGAGATGATTAATCGAGCAGATTTAGTATTTTCAATAAAAGAATTTAAAATCTTATCTTGTGTATATTCATACCGTCTTTTTCTAACAGAAGAGACAAAAATAATCTATTTCATATAAAAAAAAAAAAGATATTCTCCATATACCTGTATGAACGAACGAAGTAATTAATAGATTCATGATCGATTTCAACTTCAAATGTTCATTTTCGTTCAATCCAAAATGATGAATTGAATTGATCTAGCTCTACAGGATATTCATCTTCTCTGTCATAATTTTCAATATATCGTAAATATAATTCTTTCAATTCAGGAAATGATTCTAAAATTAATTTTTTCCATGGATGAGCATTAAGAAAAGTTATATCTTGAGATTGAACAGTAGCACGTAAAACTTTTAATTTAGAATCCATTTTTTTAATGAGTATTTCAAATTCATAAAATTTTGATTCGTAGGTAACGAAATATTTGTTCATTTTGATAATGTAATTGGTAATATAGTTTGGATATTTGTATGAAAATCATATGCATTAAAGAGAAAGATGTAGACGGCGAAGTTGAGGTGTATAAGACATAATAGAAAAAACATAATTGTAAGTCCAAGAATGATCAATGGCAAGATATTCAATAGTGTTCATTTGTTGATTGATAACCATTGGAAGTGAGATTCTTCGGTTAGCACCTGACATGAATATGAACGATTTTAATGTTGGAAAGACAAATACCAATCGATAAATATCATTGAGATTTTCTGAATTATTCGATGTGTCGATAGTTAAAGAGGAAAGACGAGGTAGAGAAACTAAATTAATAAGAATTGAGGTCAAATTATCTATGTCGTCTCTAATATAAAGTGATCAAAGACAGATTAATAAAGAATTGAAGGTAAACCATGAGGAATCGTTTTTTAATCCTGAATATAAATCCATTGAATATATTTTATACCGATTAAGAAGAAGATACAATTTACAATTGCTTATATATGGTTCATTATATATTGAACCATAAAGTGTAACTTTTATTAAAAGAGATGAAGAATTGAGAAGTTTTTGAAGAAGTTGATTAAGATGTGAAAATGCTTTATATATATCATAACTATCGAGATAATCAAATATTTCATAGAAAAATTCATTAGATAAATTTTCAATACAAGTTATTGATCGATCACATTCATCTGTTTATATGAAAATACGAAAAAACTCTATATGTGTTATTGAAATAATTTACTTCAAATTTTTTTTGTTTCTTCTTTTGATGATTGATTAAAAGTTAGTTTTCATTTAATTTGACCCATATGTCTCAGTTTCAGAAAATTTAAAATTAAATGAATAATTGCTATCTAGGCAAAAAAAGAATATTATCAATGAATTATTGATTATTTATTCTGAGGTATTTGATGTTTCTACTATGTTTGAGATAAATCAGAGTTCTTCAAATCTAATGATTCATTTAGTGATAAATGAGACTTCTTTAGAATTCATAGAGAAAATATGTATAATTATCTAAGTATCAACATATAATTTAGGATTTTGATAAAATATTTACCTATCATTCAATCTAAAAAAGAGAAAATTATCATTGAAGCACAATCATATAACTGGACAGTGTGATAAATGGGGAAAGTGACTGTATCGTTACCATTGACAAGGATATTTCTCTTCGATTCAGTTCTGTTGTATATCAATCGATACGAACACTTTCTTACTTATTTAACCAAATAGACAACAGAAAGAAAATGATGCGCTGGTCAAGGTCAACATTATAACCGAAAAGTCATACAAAGAAGAGAACGGAAGCATACCGTTCATCTTTTTATTTTGTACCTTAAATGGTTCACATTTGTATGAAAGAAAGGAAAAAATAGTCGTGTTTTACAACAAGACAGTAGATACAAAGTGAGTTTTTTTAGTCATAAATATCATACTTCTCCCAAAATAAAACAAAAAGAAACATCATTAGTTGATTAAAATATAATAAAAAAGACAAAGACATTGTGTGGAAATGAATTGGTTTAAAGAAATATTGCATATCTAGTTAGAATGGTTATCAAATATTCAAGCATACCGTTCATCAATTGTGACACCACGGATGAATAACTTTCCAAATTTAAGATATATTATTATAATGTTAGGATAATATAATGAATGACAAAGAAAATTATCACGCTTAACTCTTTCGTGCCGGGACCCGCATATATGCGGGCTGAGCTTTTGCACGGATTATACTTCTATGAATCTCTATCTTGCCTATGCCATTAGCGTCCTTATGTTGCTAGTATTACAGGGTGTGGGTGTGGGTGTGGGTGCGGGTGTGAGTCTGGGTGTGAATCTCGTTTTCGCTACACCACACCCACACCAACATCCCACACCCGCACCGACACCTACACCCACACCAACACCCACACCCACACCCACCCACACACCTGCACCACACCCACATCCACACCACACACCCCACCGACACCCACACCCCACACCCACACCCACAATTATTTACAACACCCGATGCCGAAAAACCTGGCCTAAGACATAAAAATAAAATTATCATAGAATGTATTTTGTTTTTCTGTACTTCCCAAAAACTAGACCAAGTGGAAGGATCATTACGTCGAATATTACACCTGGGAATAGTTTCGAAAAATCTCGATAATAAATCTTTATTTGTATTGATTTCATCTTGAGATAAAACATCGCGAAAAATTGCATAACCATGTTTATTTAAATAAGCAATACCTTCATTTAGACTTTCATTATTTGTGATCGAATAACGTGGTGTTAATGTTGTATGATCGATGCGTAAACCCTTTTGATCAGTATTATACTGCATAGCCATAATTTTGATTTTTTTTCTTCGAAAAATATGATGCAAATTGATTTATTATGATATATTCGTGAGTAAATTATTATGACGACATTTTTTCTAAGCTTTGCGCAATAACAAGCACATTTTTGAAAAACATTAGGTATTTCGCAATACTCAGAAGTATGTTGGCTAACAAGAACAGTACAAAATTTGCATTCATTAAAATCATATCAAAGACTGTTTCATGATAAATATTATCTTTTCAAACGGATTATGATGAAAGAGTGAATAAAAGTTGTTTCAAGAAATATGAAATTATGGGTGCCAGTGTGAGTTTCTGTATATATTTTCTAGGGTGTGTGGGTGTGGATGTGGGGTGTAGGTGGGTGGGGATGTGGGTGGGTGGTGTGGATGTGGGTGTGGGTGTGTGGGTGGGTGTGGGATGTGGGTGTGGTTGTGGGTGTTGGTAAATTTGCTCTTTTCACCCACACTCACACCCACAACCACCCACTCACCCACAGCCACCCACCCACAGCCACTCACCCACACCCACAATCTAATCGATTACAAATAAAAATAGAATTGATTCATCTTTTTTAACTCTGTCGTTGAAGTTCAGTTGAAATCAAAGTAGTTTGTTGAGGAGAGACACAAACCAGAAAATAGATAGAATTCTCGAACATGTGGGTGTTTGTGCTATTCACGTAGATTACTAATATCTGATATCCATGGATTTATCCAGCGTGCTCTCATGATAACAATGAGTAGGTATCGAAGAAGAAGTGACGGCATGATAGCAAACAGCAATGCAAATATCTTCTTTCCAACATTACAAGCAAATTTTACGCTTACCTCTATGCTTCTCTCTAATATGAGTTTTGCAGTACTTATCTTCGTTGTTGGTTTTCTCCATGACAATAAATAGTTATATAGAGCAGCCAAACTTCCAAGTTGTTATCGTAGCTACCTCAGTTCTCTATGTCCACGAAAAAAAAAGTATGGAGTATTGGTACATCATTTTGACACAATTAAACGTGGACTTCGTCGTATAAAATTTCATGGCCCTCATCGCTATTGTGAACAATCGTCAATTAACGTACACATCTCTGTTGACACCGGGTGTTGTGCCACCCTCAATTGGCTCATTCAAATTCAACACGTTGAATACAGTGGTATTTGATATTGGTACGCTGATTCCGAACACTGCTCAACAACTTAGTGTTACTGTTTTTATACGAAGTGGTTACGACAGTAACTCACCGTACAATGTATGGTTATGGACAGAATTTGGAAATAATCAGAAAGATATCAAATTTAAACGAGGTTATCGCTATCCACAAAGTGCAATTTCATTTGATTCAGAGACATTTAATTTTGCTTATTCGTCGAATCATCCCAAACTCTATCTCATGTCTGATGTCACAGCTGAGACCGGGAATATGTTTCTTGAACTATTCGCTGTTGGTTATGCACAGTAAATGACGAAAAGCAAACAAAAATAAATTGAAAGAAACAATTATAATATCGGATGTTTTTAAAGCTAACCTCCATGGTTTTTTGAATAACTTGTGAACGCTGATATCCATCTAGTTTCCCATGTGACAAATTTTTCCATTGTGAGCTGTCTGTAAGCGGTTTAGAATAGCTAGGGATTTTCGCTTAACAGCGCTTGAAAGTGCACATTTTAAGCGGCTTAAAGCGTTTCGAACATCTTTAAGCACTCATCAGCTGCTGTCCAGCACATGAGTTCTAAATAGCTGGTAAGTGCTTAGAGTTCGGCTTTTTCAGCTATCATAAGATTTCCAAATTATTTCAAAGTTGCCTCGATGAATGAAGACTTTTGCACCGAAACCAAATAATGTATGTTTAGGTCAATTTCATAGCAATATTGATTATCAGACTTAAACGGGTATTAGTAATTTATGCTAACACCACAAAAACCCAACTTTCTAAGATCGCACATAGGTTACCTTTATTAACATCGACATCTTGAGAAGTTATGCTCACTAACACCCACTTTGTCTGACTGCTAGAAAAAAAAATAAACGATCAACAAGGATAAAAAAATGACCTCCTTCAACAGTAACATCCAGGATCTCTCCTATAGTCCACACAAACACTCCGCCTTGTCTTCACTAACACCCACAGAACTTCATAATCTATATTGTGATACCCTCAAATGCTATCCCGGAATAAAGGGTGTGAGTGTGGGTATGGGTGTGAGTGGGGTGGGTGTGGGATGTGGGCAAGGAGGAAAAAGCAGATCCTGGTGGATTCTGACGGATCCCATGATCCATCAGAACTGCTTTCGATCTATCAACATAGATTGATTTTTTGAATGCTCATAAAAGTAAGGAAATCAATGAGATTCATAAAATAAAAATGTTTAATTCGAAACATGTTCTGGATGAATCAATGCGATCATCATGCATCTTTTATAAAAACTTGACTAGTCTCTATTACAAAGGAGAAAGGTACCTTGATTCATCTCACTATCTATTGGAGTCCATGTGATTTCATTAGAATGCATAGAAACAAAGTAAAGAGAGGAAGAATTAGCCAGGGTGTGGGTGTGGGTGTGGGTTTGGGTGTGGGTGTAGGTGTGGGTGTGGGTGTGGGTGTGTGGGTGTGGGTGTATTTCAGGTGGACGATACAAACGTTTCATTAC